CCCCGTCCTACGAGCCCCGAGTCAGGACATGGGAGCACAATGATCCACAAAGGCCGACATTGTCCCCATGCAGCCAGCACGGTGGTGACCTTTGGGATCTGGCTGGCAGGGCACCAGGGGCTGGGGCGGGGACTGGGTGGAAGGACAAAACCCCTCTGTCCCCGGCCTGGCCCTGAGGGTCCTCGCGTCCCCCCGTGGGGGTGGCCCGGTCCCTGGGACCAGCCTGGGGGCTGCTTGGCCATCCTGGGTTGACTCCGTCCGCGCGTGTTCGGGGACACTGGGCTGAGCGGTGAGGTGCCCGTGTCCCCTGGGCGGCCAGCGTGGCTGAGGGAGGCCCTGACTCCTGGCTGCCCCTGTGCCGGGGAAGCTGCCTCTTCTCTGGCCCTGGAGCCGCCCAGCCAGGGGGACGGAATGTTGAGCTTGGCTCAGCCCGGGCCCCAGCATCACGCTCTGGTGTGTGTGATGGACAGGAGGCCAAGGGGGCCCCGGGGGCGTGCCAGGGCCCAGCAGCAGGAGGAATTGGGGATGGGGGCAGCTGCTTCCTGAGGGCGGAGCTGCGGGCTGGGCGGGGCGCTGACCGGAGGGGCCCAGCCGCCTCCCCGGGCCCTTCAGCTTTGTCCCTGGGTGGCGGAAGGCTGGGTGGACAGCAAGATCTGAGACTGGGGAGTACACCACCCCTGCCCAGAGTGGGGGGCTGGCAGCAGGGAGGGGGTGAAGGTGTGGAGCAAAGATAAGCTGGAGCGAGGCCCTGAGCAGGATGGGGCCGCTAGCCTGTGGGGGAGGATGTGAGATGGACCGCGAGGCCCTGTATGAGATGGAGCGGTCAGTGCGGGAGACCAGGGCGGTCAGTGCGGGAGACCAGGGCGGTCAGTGCGGGGGCCCAGGGGCGGTCAGTGGGGGAGCCCGGAGCGGTCAGTGCAGGGGCCCAGGGGCGGTCAGTGGGGGGGGGGCGTCAGTGCGGGGGAGGGGGGGGGCGGTCAGTGCAGGGGCGGAGGGAGCGTGTGCTCAGGGGCAGTGTGCGCGGGGAGGGTGGGCGAGCGCAGTGGCCACAGCGTGAGCCTGGGCCCCGGAGAGATCTTGGGAGCAAGGGCGAGTGAAGGGCCGAGAAACCAAGTGTGCGAAGGGTCGCGGGTGGGCAGGTGTGGGCAGCGGGCGGGCAGGTGCGGGCAGAGGAACCCGCCGGGGGAAGGGCCGGGGCACTGGAGACTCGGGTCAGTTCCCAGGGTTCGAGGAGCTGTCTGCAGGGCCCCAGGGGCCCCAGGTAACCGCATGGAGGGGACGGGGAGCCCTTGAGGGGCGTCAGGCGGCCAGAGGACAGCAGAGCGGAGGGGCGGGTGGGTTGGGCGTTGAGACCTCGTCTTCCGCAAATGCCTCTCCGCGCCGGGCAGCCTCCTCTGATTGTCAAGGACCACGGAGGTGCCCTCACTCTGGGAGGCTCCCTCAGCCCCCACATTCAGGCCCCGTCCTGAAGGGGACACAGACACCCCTCCAGTGCCACCTGGCACTCAGCATGAGTCCCCAGCCTCACCTCCACGCCTTTGGCTGTAGGCGGGCAGCCGCCCCTGAGCCTCTGCAGAGGCCTCGGCCTCCACCTGCCCCACCCCCAGCTTGAGTGCCTCAGGCAATGAGTCCGTGCAGACCCCCGACCAGCCACCTGACCCCCGGGTCTCAGGTGCACCTCTGAGAGGAGCCAGGACTCCTGCCTCGGCAGGTCCGGAGCAGATCAGGTTGGAACAAGGCCGGGGTTGCGACAGCCTGATAAACGCAGAGGTCAGCCCACTGTGTTCTGAAACCTCTCACTCAGTGTTTCCTCATCATGAGCCCCCGAGGAGTCGTTTCACAGATGTGGGAACTGAGGTGCGGAGGGATGAGGTGAACCCCAGGGTCACCTGGCTGGTGTCAGCAGGGCTGCGGACCGGCAGCCCCGGCTCCAGAGCCTTCATTCGGTGCTGCCCTGAGGCCCTCGCTCGGCTTCTTACCAAAACCAGGACCTGAGCAGATGCCGTCTCTCCGCGGCACCCCGGCCACCCCTCTGCATGGCCAGATCCCCTCCCCCGGTATGTGGCGACCTTTCTTCCCGGGCTACTGGGGAGCTGCAGGCTCCAGGGGCTCCTGGGAGAAGGAGCCATGTAGAAACCTCCCATCTTGGGAGCTGTGGCCTTGGTCCTGGGTCTGAGGACCCTGCCTCTAGCCCCTGCTGTGGGCTCCGTCCCAGCTCGCCGTCTGTCTTGGGCGCTGGGCCACGTCTGAGTGAATCTCCCCAGGGCATTCTCCAGGGAGGAGGAAGCCTGAGGTCCCGCTTCCATCCGGCCTGGGCTCAGAGTCTGGCCAGATGTTCTCTGAAGCGGGGGGCCCTCCCTCGCCCTTCCCGCGTGCCGGAGGGAGGGTCACCTTGGTAGCGACTCTGAGGTGCAGGGCGCAGAAGGTAGGAAGGGCTCTGGTCTGGAGCCGAGGGGACCAAAAACGCGGGCTCCCAGCCCTCCCAGGAACCCGCAGGTGGAATATGGTTTTCTGGAGAAAGGGGACCAAGAAGACTGGAGAATTCAGGCAGGTTAGAGGGTGTCCTGCCTCTTCTTGCTCCAGTGTTTGCGTTCGATGCTATTGTTCAGCCCGGCCGGTGTGGCTCAGTGGCTGAGCATCGACCCTGCTCCAAGAGGTCGCCGGTCAAATTCCCGGGCAGGGCACATGCCCAGGTTGTGGGCCGATCCCCAGTGGAGGGCGTGCAGGAGGCGGCCAGTCCATGTTCTCTCTCATCCATGTTTCCATCTCTCTCTCCCTCTCCTTCGCCCTCCCTCTCTCTCTAAAAATAAAATAAATTTTAAAAAAGTATTTTTTTTTTTATCCTCACCTGAGGACACTTTTCCATTTTTTGTACAGATAGAGTGGGAGGGAGAGGAAGAGAGAGAGAGAGAAACATTGACGTGAAAGGGACACATCGAGTGGCTGCCACCCGCACGACCAACCAGGGCCGGGGACAAACTGCAACCGAGGTACATGCCCTTAGCGGGAACCGAACCCGGGTCTCTCCGGACCGCAGGCCGATGCTCTAACCACTGAGCCAAACCGGCCAGGGCTAAAAACAGTCTTTTTTAAAAGATGCTATTGTTCAGTAGTCCCGCAGAACCGTGACCGCCCGGGCAGGGTGGGAGGACTCCAGCCACCACCGGACGGACAGGCATGTCTGGGACAGGGACTTACCCTGACTGCTGCCCTCAGCTGAGTGGCCAAGGGCGGCCACCTCTCTGGGCCTGGGCACCCCTTTCTTTAGCTCGGCATCAAGAAAATCAGCCCATGTGATCCGGGAGGCGGTCATGCACTGCGGAGTCAGCCTGCCTGCGTTCGGGGTCCGGCTACGTGTCCTCTTCAGCCCCTCCCCTCGGCCACGCTGCCCATTCCAAACCCAGTAGTTCCCACTTCCTTCTTTCTGAAGATTTTAACCGGGACAGTATTCCCTTTTTGACTCATCGCAGCCATGGCTTGTCCCTCCCAGTTACGAACTTCAATAAATCTTTATTCTACCCCCATGAGCAGGAGAGACAGAAAAAACACCCTCAGTGAGAAACCCTTATTCCGTCTCCTCACCCCTCGTTCCGTTCCCATTCCGGTAGCATATTGTGTTGTTATTAACATTGTTACTTAATGTAGAAGCCAGGGAAAGACTCAGATTTATTGCATTGCCCGTCTGGTCTGAGAATTCAAATAACTGCTCCCCATGAGCGGTGGGCCGGCACCGTCCCCGTGGGACCCAGCAGCCCTCGGACTGCAGGTGGAGGGGGTACGGTGGTTTCCTTTGTGGGAAGTACATACACCAGCCCAGTCTCCCCGCAGCGGGCTCGAGGGAAGGGAAGATTGGATGCCAAGCTGGTGGGGCTTGGGGGTTCCAGACACGTGGACCAGGGGCAGATTTCCTGTTGAGTGGAAACCGGGGTGACCCCAAACTCAGGTTCACCCTCCCCACCCTGGGATCATACGCAACCTCAGGGAACTTTCTCCCAGCTCAGCCCTTTCTGCAGCATTGATGGGAATCTCCCCGTACACCCCAGAAACCACCGAAATAAAAGGAAGAGTAACGTCCTCGCAGGCCCAGGACTTGCGAAGGGCATGAGGATTTGTGGGGTGACAGCAGCCGTCTGCTCGGACCCCCGTGACCCTTCCCGAGCGCCCGCAGAGACGGGAAGCACCGGAGCCGCCCCTCAAGGGCTCGCTCGGGCGGGTGCTCTGTGTCCTCCGCACCCGCAGTCAGTGTGCGCCAGCCCTGTTCTCACTGGGCACAGTCGGGCACAGGGGACACTTCAGGGCCGTGGCTCGGAGCACAGGGTCCAGCAGTCAGTGGGGACGGGGACCCCATCCCATGACCCCCCTCCAGGGGGTGAGTCAGTACCCGGAAGGAGCCCTTGGCTGCCGGCAGGAGCCCCTGGAGAAGGGGGAGGTGGAGGGAGAGGAAGGTGAGCCGTCAAGCTCCCTCGGCCGCTTGTGTGGTGTCTGCCTCAACCCTCCTTGGCCCTACTGCGTCCTTCTGGGGGTGGCCAGGAGCCTGGCTGATCAGAGGCACAGGGCGGGGGGTTGCGAGGAGCACTAACATCGAGGCGTTTCCCAAACCTGAGTAAGAACGTCGGCAAGAGACACTGGAGTCCACACGTATAAAAGCCCCCCCGGCCCTGGTCATGGTGGCAACGTCCTGACCCACCCAGGTCGGAGGACAGGGGTGCCCCCCGGGGAAGCATCAGCTGTGACTGAGGCAGGTGCCCCAAGGCGCCGCGCCCTTCACGGTGAAGCTCTGGACTTTTCAAGGGTTCCGTTTGGAGATCCTTTCGGGCAGTTACTGTGTGGGTTTCCCGCAGGCTGTGGGGCCCCGGGGTGCATGCTTTCTTTCCCATCAGTGGTTCAGTGGCAACGTGAAACTTCCTGGAGCCGCAGAGGGGGGTGTCCCAGCACCCGGGTGGGCAGGAGGGAAGGCCCGCCCCTCCAGCGGGTCCCCATCCGTCGGCCTCTCCCTGCAGTACGTGAAGATCTTCCGGGCCCTGATCCTGGGGGAGCTGGAGAAGGGTCAGAGCCAGTTCCAGGCCCTCTGCTTTGTGACCAGGCTGCACCACAGTGAGATCATCCCCAGCCAGGCCATGGCCAAGCTTCGGCAGGTGAGCCCCGGTCCCCTCGCTGCCCGAGCCCACGCGCCACCCAACCCCGGTCTCCTCCTGGAGCCTCAGCCCTCACACCTGGCACCCCGCTCACCCTGTAGTCCTGAAACCCTGCCTCGTACCCCAGATCTTGAATCCGCACTGAACCCCCGGCTCCCACATCCCTCCAGCCCTCGATGCCAGCTCCTCCCTGATATGAAGGAAGCTGCAGCTTGGCGTCCAGTGTGTGTGGGAGCAGGTGCCCCCGACTGCCGCCCTGCAGAGGCCCCCAGGGCTGTGCAGACAGCGCCCGGCCCGCCTGGCCCTCTGTGACCAGGGGAAGGGGTGTGGGGGCCCTGGGACCCGGTGACAGCTGCTCCTCTCCCCACAGAAAAACCCGCGCACCGTGCGGCAGGCGGAGGAGGTGCGGGGCCTGGAGCACCTGCACATGGACGCGGCCGTCAACTTCAGCCTGGGGGCCCTGCTGAGCCCCCACCTCCGCAACGTGTGCGCCGAGGCCGCGGACGCCGTGTACACCCGGCAGCAGGACGTCAGGTTCTGGCTGGAGCAAGGTCAGCGGGCGCTGCCCGGCACAGGGCGAAGGGGCAGGGGCGGGATGAGGGCTCAGGGATGGGCCTCGCACCGGGCCGGAGCGGCTCAGGGAGCCTGTGAAAGGGTCCAGGTGGGACGCAGAGTGGGGACTGCTGGGCCCTGTGGAGGGCGACCACGCAGGCCCCGCCTTGGCGAGAACAGGGGACCTGGTGAGGGCCCAGGGCCCCGTGGGGCAGCGGCTCCTGTTCCCACAGGCCCAGCTCGGCCCAGAGAATCCACTTCTCTCCTGGGCGGCATCTCTCCCCAGGCCCTGTCCGTCCTTCCGGGATGTTGGCGTCCTGGCCTGTGCCCGCACCGCTGGCCTCTCCTGGCACTTGTCCCCAGGCCCTGCGTAGAGCGGACAGGGAGGGGTCACCATTCCTGTTCGGGTCCCTGGTCCCTCTCTGCTCAGCTGGCTGCACACTGGCCAGACCAGACGTCCACCTCTCCAGGGGCACTGGACGCAGAAGTGCCCAGTAGAGCTGTCAGGCCCCCCACACACCTCTGCAGTGGGCTGCACCCCAAACTGGGGTACCAGCCTGATACTGTCCCCAGAGGTGGATCCTCTGTGGTGTCTGAGCTGAGCCAGGGCCCAGGGCCTGTGTCCCCCCAGCACCTTCCTGCACACACTGCTGGCTGCCCAGCACCTTGGCACCCGAGTCCCCAGCCCACTGTGCCCCCCTCCCCCCCGCCGCCCCGATTCTATCACAGTCCAGAGCAGCGATGTTTCAAGCGTCAGAGCCGCTTGGCTCAGGTGAGGCCTTGAGGCCGGACAGACTGGGTTCCAGTCTCAACCCTACTTACTGTGACAGGCAAACTCTCCGCTGCTCCCTCTGCGCCAGGGTGAGACGACTCAGCTCGCAGGGGAGGGGCTGCCTAAGGAGCCTGCAGGGAGCACCGGCCCTGCTGGGGGAGCCCCTCTCCCTCCTGTGACCTCTGCCCTCTCCCACAGGGGTGGACAGCTCCCTGTTCAGGACTCTGCCCAAGGACACAGAGCCGCCGCTGCCCCGCTGCGGGCAGGGCGGGGACCGAGCGGCGCCCTGTGTCTGCCACTACAGCCTGAGCCTGGCCTGGTACCCCTGCATGCTCAAGTACTGCTACAGCCGGGACCGGCCGGCCCCCTACAAGTGCGGCATCCGCAGCTGCCAGAAGGGCTACAGCTTCGACTTCTCCGTGCCTCAGCAGCAGCTGTGTCTCTGGGCCGAGGACCCCTAGGCGGCGGGGTGGGGGAGCCCACTGCCCCCACCGAGCCTTTGCTCCCCTCCGCTCCCCTCCCCCTCCCGGAGCCTCTGCGCTCCGACTGAAGGGGCTGCACTGCGGGGGGCGCGTGAGGGCAGCTCCCACTGTCTTCCTTCCGGACACGAGGAGAAGGGCTTCTCCCCCTGCACCCTCCCCCCTTCACCAGCCCCCTAGTTCACGCAACCGAAATGTCATGGCCTGTGAGTCCATTTAACTCTCTGAAGGTGTAGACCCTAAACAGTGTCTTTGCCTGTTACACCCACCTCCTCACACAGAACCCCCAGCCACCTGGAAGGGGCGAGGGCTCATTGCCGCGGGGGTGCTGCTGGGCCTGATGCTGGAGCCCAGACACAGCGAGGCCTTGGGTCTGGGGCCTCGCAGCCCAGACACAGCGAGGCCTTGGGTCTGGGGCCTCGCAGCCCAGACACAGCGAGGCCTTGGGTCTGGGGCCTCGCAGCCCAGACACAGCGAGGCCTTGGGTCTGGGGCCTCGGGCTCCCCCTCCCGGCCCTGAGACAGACCGCCTGTGCCTTCGCCCACCGACCCCCAGCGCACACCCTTCCCCTCCAGATGGAAATACACGTGTGGGCCCGGGACGGGGGCGCATGAAGTACGAGGGAAACTTGAATTCCAGATTTTTAATGCAAAGTATTTATCATTTCTACCAGGAATTAAAGTTTCGATTTTTACTTGACCGACTGTTGGCCCATGCTGCCCCCTGGTGTCAGCAGGAGGGCTCTGTCCTGGTCGGTGACTGTTCTCAGCCAGGGTGGTGGGCAGAGATGGGGGTGTCCCTGGGGAGGGTGAGACCGGCCTGCGCACTGAGGAGGAGAAGACAGACGTCGATGAGAAGCAGGACAGTGGTGGACAGCAGCAGATAAATTAGTCGAGAGAAGAGGGGAATTCCGGAGCCAGAAGTCCCAGGTGTCCCACGGAGCACTCAACGCCTCAGGAAAGGGGGGGCCAGGAGAGGCAGGGGCTCCCAGGGCAGCCCCCTTACTCTGCTTCCCAGCACCCCCAGAACAGACCACTGCTGCCCCTTGAACCTGTGCAGCCTGAGGGTTGTGGTGGGAGCCAGGCATGGTTGGCCTTGGTCAAAGTGGGGGGCGGTGCGGACACGTCCTTTTCAGGTGGGGTTCTTCCTTCTGAACCTGCTTGCAGAGACCAGCTGCAGCCCTGCGGGGCGGGTTAGGGTCGGGGGAGGGAAGCATTTCTCCCCAGACTTTTTCCTCCTCCCCTACGGGGCCTCAGTCGGGAGGGGTGATTACTTGGGGAAGGCAACTTCTACCCTATGTGCTGTCTTTACTGCTGGGAAGGGGGTCCCCAAATCAACATTTCTGTGAAAAGTGGTGTTTCCAGGACTTGGGGTGTTTTTCTGATCTTCCTGGGGAGTAACCAGCACCTGCAGTAAGGGGCTTTGGGACACCCCCTGCCTTGGGCCCCTTGGTCTCAGGTCGTGGGAATGAGAACTAAGATCCCTGAGACCTGGGGCTGACCCTGCACACCAGCCATCACCCCAGCAACTGTCCTGACCCAGCCCCGGCCATGAGGCGCCCCCAGCCCCCCAGCGCAGGTCTCCGGGCGCATCCGAATCCTCGGGAGCTCGTTGAACAGTGTGGTTGTCAGCTGTTTGAGAAACATCGAGACAGGGTTTCCTGTCCTCCGTGGGACACCTGGGAGGTGACCCCCCTGCAGCGGCGATTCGGTGAGGTTCTGTGGGTGTGGCTCACCTGTGAAAGTGTGAGCTGCCCCAGGCCAGACAGCAGAGCTGGGGTTCAGGCCCCACAAACCCGAAGGGGGATCAGACTGGCCGGGGAACCTCCAAGAACCCAGCGCACCTACCAGAGGGAGGAAGGGGACCACCCAGTGTGAGGTCCCACCAGGCAATCACTGAGGACTTGGGGGAGGGGCTGCCCAGTCTCCCCTGGGACTAGTGTTCGAAGGGACAGGCCCCCGATTCGCTCCTTCCGGGAGCCCAGAGCCCAGACTCAGCCGGCGCCTCTTCAAGCCGGAGGAGAGAGAAGAGGAGCCGCTCACACCCCGGCTGGACCACCGCAGCCTGGCCTGGGCCTCCCCGGACGGTCTGTGGGCTTCAGACTCCCCTCCCTGAGGCTGGTGAGCCAAGGGGAGGCCCACGCAGAGTGTGGGGCCCCACAGCTGGGCACCTCTGCCAGGGCCTGCACATGCCGGTGGAGCCCCAAGAGTCGGGCAAAAAGTAGAGCCAGGACCACTCCTGAGTCCAGCAGTGCCTGTGATGCGGGGGAGGGGTGTGGGGCGGCCCCAGCTCCCCAGGACCCGGGCGGTCGCCTCACGGCCCCCAGCTCCCCGACCTGCGGAGCGAGGGTCTCCGATGTCTTCCCGGACGTGATGCTCCTGTGGCCGCGGCCTGGCGTCCACCTCCGATGACTTGTGCGGCTGCCGACTGTCGAAGTGTTTACTGTGACCTCTCCGACAAGCTGCAGAGAGACGGCGAAGGTGGACGCCCGGAATGGCCCTCCACGCGGGCTGTCCCGACTCCCGCGCTCACTGGCCGGAGCCGCAGGCCTTCAGACAGCGAGGTGGGGACGGAGGTTCTGAGGACCGTGGGGTCCAGAGCCGCAGACCCTGGCAGCTCAGGCAGCAGCTGGTAAGACCTGAGTCTGAGGCTGTCGAGAAGGCCAGAGGCCGTCAGTGCAGACGGGGCTTCTGACCCAGTGTTCAGGCAATTTCCTTCTGTCAAAACCTGTGTTCGCCACAGCGGTGAGACTCAGGTGACTGGGGCCCCGTCCTGTCCACTGAAATGTCCTGCATTTGATTCCCAGTCAAGACACATTCCTGGGTTGCAGGTTCGACCCCTGGACGTACGTACGGGAGGAGACCCGTCTCTCTCTCTCCTCCCTTCCTCTCTCTCTGAAATCAATAAACACATCTTCAGGTGAAGATCTAAAAATAAATAAAACCCTCACGGCAGCATCTGAACATAAGTATTCGAACAAACTGGGCGCCACGGACCAGCCATCGCTCGGCCTCACCAGAGCGCTGTTGGCCGTGACGGACGATGAAGCGTCCTGGGGTCTGTGCTCAGACATCTGCTGTTGGGTAGAACCAGGTGACAGCTACGCCACGGGCCCCCCACTTGACCTCCAGTTCTCCACCCTCCTCGGCCTGTGCATGGACTCCGACCCCTGGACCGGCCCCCCGGGCCCCCCACATCCAGTGAGAAGAAGCGAGGTCTGCAGGCAGGATGACAGCGGCCGTGAGACCTGTACCCTGCTCCTGGCCTGGACACCTCCCTGCTCTTGTCCCTGCGGCCCTCGCAGTCCGGGTCACCGCTCTGGTCCCTTAGCCCTGCGGCCCCTCAGCGAATAAGCAACACCGTCACTGCAGGTGCAGTGGGCTCTGTGTTCTACGCTGACCCTGCTTGACGACAACAGCCGTCCCTGCTGGGGACCCAGAGGGTGGACTGGGGACCCAAGTGCGGTGGGGAGCAGTGACCTTGGCAGGTGGAAGGTCCCCCCCTTAGGGGGCGTCCAGTCAGCGGGAGAAGGAGGGAGAATCACAGCCTAGGCTGGTGGAGCCTTTGGGGGGGCGGTGCCCCCAGGCCCTGAGGGGACTATCCCATGGGAGGAGCAGGTGGGGGCCTCCCCTCCTCCATCACGGGAAGCAGAAACACCTCCATCCAACCTGCATCCACCCCTGTCTCCCGGAAGGCCCCCCTGCCGCCGTGGTGGAGGGTGTCCCTTCTCCCCACGCTGACCGCTGACCGGGGCTCTGAACCCCAGCCCAGCCCCTTCCTCTGCTCCCTCCTGTCTTCTTCCCTTGGGCCCTGGAGGTTCTTAAATCTTCCCCATCTACAAAATAAACAAAAAACACCTCAGCCTCAAGCCCCACTCTCCCTTGGTACCGTTTGTCCCTGTTCCTTCGCGGAGACACTTCCGGCCCGAGTCCTCCGCCCCAGCCGCTCCCAACCTCGGATCAGTAACAAGTCCTTTGTCTCTGCCACTGCGAACTAGTTCCACCGAAGGTCCACCCTGTACCGATTTCCTCCTCGCTGGTATTTTCTACCCCTTGTGCTCTGGGGGCTGCCGTCTGTGCTGCTTGGTCCCCTGCCCGCCCCGTTCTGCCTGTGCCCCCCTCCACTCCTCCCTCCCTGCTGGGGACTCTGCTAGGTCCTTCCCCTACCATGGCCAGGTTCAAGTGAGGCGGACCCCACAGCAGGCCCCGTAGCACCTCGTTTCCCTGTGAGGCTCATGTCACTCTCCCAGGGACTTCCTGTTCACTGGTCTACAAGCACCACCCCAGGGCGAGCGCCCTGAGGGCATTCCCGCCCAGCTCCAGGGGCCACGCAGTGCACACTCCGGATGCACAAGTGGCCACTGCAGGTGGTCGTGCAGCCCAGGAGCTAATCAGCAGAGATGTCGGCAACAGGAACGTCCCAGCGAGGACAGGTCACTGCGCTGACTCCAACTGGGGTTCCATGGCCTCTGTTGGGGAGCAAGGACGAGAAGACCCAACAGCATTCGGAACCGGGGCCCTCACCTGTGACCCCCAGCTGTGGATCGGCTCTCCCTGAGGGGCACTTGTGAGCCCTCTCCAGAGAAAGGTTCAAGTCGGGGTCACACACCCCGATCACCACAAGAGGGTGCCTTGGGCTTAGACTTGTCCTGAACGTGCCGGTGAACCTGGACGTTGCCTGGCCTGAGGTGGGCCTGGAGGCCGGGGAGGGTGATGGGCACAGCTGTGGTGAGGGCACGTTAGAGCCCCCGGACACAAGCCCACGCTGCCCCCAGGTCGAGAAGGCTCATTTACACACAGAGCTGGGATGCTGCTTTAACACTAAACACGTCTCACTGTTACCTGTTACTTGGAAACGTCAGGTACAAAATGTCAATGAGTGTGTGTGTGTGGCCCCTACATGTGCGCGAAGGTCGGGGACTGGGCGGGCTGGCTGTCCAGGGTGGGGGCTCGGCATTAGGGGTGTCCGAGGCTCTGAGTCCGCATTCCCATGTCCTCTCCTTTCTAACCCCCGAAGCAGCCGCTTGGTCGTGGTTCCCAGAGCACCTCTCACTTCATCACCCCTCACTCCCCCTCGCCCCCCTGTTCCGCAGCACCCCGCCAGGCAGTGGTGCGCACCTTGACTTTGCTCTGTGAGGGGAGCTCAGAGTTCCTCCTGCCTCTGCCTTGTTTCCATCAGACGCCTGAGCTTGGGTTCATTCCCTGCGGCGGCCCCAAGGCAGGGAGCTGACCCCACCATGCGCCCCGCGCTCCGCTGGGGCCTACAGCCTGGCAGGCAGGAGCCAGAAGGGACTTGTTGCTTGGTGGCCGTCCAGGGCCCCTGCTCCCCACCCTTCCCCAGCTCTGCAGCTCCATCCAGCTGACAGGACAGACCGGGGCTCCCCACCCTCCCCTGAGCGCCTTTTCCAGGGCGAGAGACCCTTCCCAGCAACGTGTCTGGACGGGGAACTTGATTCCGGGAGATTTCTAGAAATAGGGCCCGGGGAGCTAGTGAGCTCCTAGAGGTGCAGCCAAGAAGACGGGGGACCTGGGGAGGGATCCAGGTGGGGCACCATGTGGGGACCACAGGGTCCCAGGGTGGACTTCAGTCACTCCCTGAAAAACTCCCCCTGCTGGAGGAAGGGGGGAGCCCCGGGGAGGTCGTTTGCATTTTATTTGCATATGACTCTCCCGAAGTCCAAAGGCGCTGAAATTTCCGGTCCTAGAGTCTTTGGACCTTTCTTTCTGATGTTCCCTGCTACCCTCAGGCAACCCCCAAGCTCTCCCTTCTCCCCCACGGTTTTTCCTCTCCCAGGCTAAGCACAGACTTGGAACATCAGGCTTAGGGGGCGGCACCTTCCCTGACACCCCATCTGCCCAGAGCACAGAAATCTGGGCGGAGGGAGGGAGAAGGGGAACTTTTAGTTCCTGTTCCAGTTCATCTAGTTGAAGTGACCGTCCCCCAGGTCCGCGGGAGAAGGACTACCCAGGCCCACGCTGTCCCTTGCGCCCTGCACCGGCGGCAAAGCCACCACACGGTCTGAGCCCCAGCAGGGGCGTGAAGGAGGGGCTCTGCTCTGCCTTGTGCCCATGTGGGGGTGACGTCCAGGTTCCTGCGCCTCCAGCTAGAGACGGTGGAAGGGAGCAGGGAAGGGACCCCGGGCTCGGGCACCAGAGGCTGTGGGGTCAGGCCGACCTACTCCACCCCACTCTGCCCTCTGCTGGCTGCACTGGTCTCCCTGAGCCTGCACTTCCTCCAGGAAAGGACCCTAAAAACCGTCTTCCTCCTAAAGTCGTGCTGGCTGCTGACCTGTCGGCGTGGAGGCCTTTCCTGGCAGTCAGGTGTCCTGAAGGAATGAATAAAGGAATAAAGGAGCAAATGAGATCATGTTGGCTACACTCCCCTCCCCGCCCCCCACCATGTCTGAGACCCAAAGCTATGCCTCCAACTGAGAACCTCCAAGGCCCCATCTCGCCCCGATGGGCACCATACCCAAGGGCTCCGCCCCAGCCCCAGCTCCGGGACCCCAGACTCCTAGGCCGCCGGGGCTGGAGGACCCTTGGAAATCATCAGGTACGTGGTCCTCTGGCTTCCGGAAAAACCGCAGCCCAGAGAGACCCTGTAACTCTGCACACGGACAAGAGAAGCAGGTCCCAGATGCGGCGCCAGAGTGCCGGACCCTCCGCGCACACGGCCACGCGACCGACATGTGAATGGGGACACGCCGGTCACTGCATCAGGAGTGCAACCCCCAGAAGGGCGTTTTCCCAGGATGCGGGCATCTGAGGTGCCGCTCTCAGTAAGAAATGAACCTCAGGGAAGAGGCCGCCCCTAAAGTGAAGGGAAGGGAGAGGAGCGAGCAGAGGAGGGGAGTGTCCCGAGTGGGGTTCCCCGGATTCGCGAGGTCTCCAAAGAGTCTTGATTGATCTCTTCCCCCGTCAGAAGAAACAGGAGAAAAGTCCCCTTTCTTTCCCCAGGATGGGGGACAAGAAGACAATGTACTTGGAGAGGCTGGTTTGAATGTGTCCGAAGATGCCCTTGCTAAGCCCTTCCCATTCCCCAGCCTCACTGTGGCGCCCACTGCGCCCTTTCTGACGGCTGTGCGTACCCCGCCCTGGGCTCAGGGCGGCAGGGGCACAACCAGCAGGTCGCAAGCTGAAAGTCCCACCTAACCGAGCACAGGAGCTACTGAGAACACTGACGTGTCACGGTGATTTCCTAAAGCCCCAGGTCACTTCCAGCCTGACACCAGCGGTGGCATCTGCGCTGCGCGTCGAGGGCTGTGCTTCCCAACAGGAGCCTAACCCTGCGCTGGCTGTGTGCACCGGGCAGGTGCCGCTCGCGGGGGCTCATCTGCCCCCCCTGTGAAACGCAAGCAGTAACAGTCCCGTTTACCAGTTGTCGTCAGGACTAGTCAAGACGGACGCTCTGAAGCGCGGTTCTCAAGCTGTGGGATGCGACCCCTTTGGGGATCGAACAACCGTTCCCCAGGGATCGCCTAAGACAGAACAGGAGCAAAATTACAGTTATGAAGTAGCAACGGAAACAATTTTATGGCTGGGGGTCCCTCCAACACGAGGAGCTGTATTAAAGGGTCGCGGCATCAGGAAGGTTGAGAACCACTGCGAGTCTGAAGTGTTAGTGCGGTGCCGGCACACTGTGAACTTCTGTAAATAAAGTAGGGGCCGCGGGGGTGGAGGGCGGGGGGATGGAGGTACCAGGTGGAGAAAACAAGGCAGAGCCAGAGACCCCAGGACCTGTTCTGTGGGACTACAGCAGGTGCACAGGGAGACCTGTCTGGAAAGAGGGACGTGCCCCCCTCAACAGGCTTTCTGCGCGTCCGAACCGGCTGATCCCTGGCCCTTGGCACCACTTACTGAAACCTAGAGTGGGGAGCAGGGGCGGAGCTCGGACCTGGGTGGGGGCTGCGGACAGCACTGGGCTGGGAGTCCACAGGCCTCATTCCAGCCAGGCTCTGCGCCCCCAGGAACCCGGGGCTCAGCTCTGTTGATGGGGGAGCCAGCTGTCCCCACAGCCCCTCACGCGGGTAAAAACTTTCCCATCAACCTGTCACCGAGCCTCAGAGCAACCTGGGACCTGGGCGGGGCAGGCAAAGGGCAGTTTCATCACCTGGAAAATGTGACAAGAAGCTGCGCCCATCGCGGTCCCAGGAAGTCTGAGGCTGCACCAGGGCTGGTCACCTGCGAACCCCAGAGAGATGCCAGTTAGGGTTGGCACTTGCTCCACTTTGCAGATGGGAAAACTGAGTTCAGGGAGGTGAAGCGCCTCGTTTCATGTCGGGCAGCTGGTAAAGGGTTGAGAGAGGATTCCAAAGCGGGGTGTTTCGGGGCACCCCGTGGCTTCTCCACACACTCTGGGCTCCCCGCAGCTCCGGCCCGCGGGGTGATCCTCCCCGGGTTCCCAAGAACGAGGCTAGAGCGGCAGCCTGGGCGCCGGGGCGCGGGCTGCGCCGGGCACACAGGTGTTCCGCAGGGTCAGGACCCGCCCCGGCTGCACCCCCTGCCCCTCCCCAGGCCCCTGGCTCCTCGTATGCAAATCGCTGCTTTGCCTGGGCCGGGGGCCAGGAGCCCGGGCCCTGCCAGGGGGCGTGGCCGAGGCCCCCGCCCGCGCCGCGCGGTGCGCTCACCTGGGCAAGTGGCAGTCGCGGCCCCGCCAAGCGCTACCCGCGGGACAAGTGGGGCGCGCGACGGCTGCGCTCGGCTCCGCGGCGTCCACGGCGCTACGCTTGGGGGCGGCAGGAGGAGACCCTGGCTTCGCAGGGGGCCCGCCTGGGGCCCGCGCAAGGAGCCTGGGGGGGCGCTGGTTTTGGCCCCGCCTGGGGCAGGATGGTGAATCTGGAACTCATGCACACAGGTGAGGGAGCGGAGTGCGCCCCGACGGGGTCAAAGGAGAGGGCCACCCTTCTGGGGTCTCATTTCCAGGCAGCCAGGAGAGGGTCCCTGGATAGCTGGTCACCCCGGGGAGGCGGTGGGAGGTAGATGTGCGTGTGGGGGGGGGGGAGGCTTGAAAAATAATGAAGGTGGGGCTACTGGGTTGAGGGTGGGGGCTTCTGGAGCCTCCGATCTGAGAGGCGTGCGGGGGCTCGGGCAGCTGAGCTGCTGTCTCATGAAGTCGCCCTGCTCAGGATTGCAGAAGCCTGGCTCACTCCGCCGGCAGGGGTGTGGACCTGGGAGTGCGGGAAATACGTGTGCCCACATGCTGTGTGTGTGGTGTCCCCGGCACGGATGCACAGTGGAGACAAAGTGGGCATCTGTCGGGTCTGGGGTGGGCTGAGGTGGGCCAGGCGGAGCCAGGGGGCCGGGCAGTCACAGAAGCACCTGGGCAGGTGACATGACAGCAGGGTGGTCAGGGCTCCTGGAAACTTGTGTCCACGTGCCCAGGGGTTCCTCTGCCCCCGCGTGAGCAGACGCCCTGTGTGAAGGTGTGCCCCCCGCACTCCTGTGAGTCTCGGCCGTGCCGTGGGCTCAGTGTGTGGGTGGGTGCGGGTGTGGGTGCTGGGGGTGGCTTCTCCGTGGTGAGGGGCACCTTCTCTGTGCTCTGTGCCCCATGGATTCAGATACCAGGCCCTGGTGTCCTCAGGAGGAGGAGCCTACCAGATGGAAACACCTTCCCCGAACGGTGTGTGGGCAGGGAGTGAACCAGGGCCCCCACTCACCCTGCGGCTCCGGCCACAGCGGGGCGAGGGCAGGAGCTGCTGTCCCTGGTGGAGCAGCCGGGGAGCCTGAGGGAAGAACAGGGCCCGGCAGGGAAACCTAACCCTCCTCTGGCCGTTTCAGACCAGCCGCTCGCCTCTCACAGGGACCAGCGCCCAAGGCCTTCACGTGGGATTTCAGGGCTGTTGGCAGGAACTGTGTCCAGTTCTCCTTTCTGAAGGCACAGAGAGGAAAAGGGGGGGCATTTTTCTGGCCCACCCCAAGGCGCAGAGCAGCCTGGAGGCTTGGACCCTTCCCGGGGCTCCGCTATCCTGAACACATCCAGCAGGGGCTGTACCCGGAGCCCTGGGGTCACAGTGGGGCTGACAGAGGAGATCCCCGGGCGCCAGGACCTGCGGGAAGGACTAGGTGGGGCTCCAGGCTGTATCATTCAGTATTTGGGGGAATCCGTCTCCAGACCTGCGGGGACAGCATGGGCACACCTGGAGCAGTTCCTCCTTCACCGCCGCCAAGGGCCTTGGTTTGAATGGGAGCAAGAGTCCAGAAAGGTGGGCCCAGTGGCTAGTCCTCAGGGCCAAGGCCAGAGACCTCCCGGGGTTTCCCTTCCTTGTGTGTGGGAGGAAGCGGACAGGGAAGCAGTCTGCAGGCCAAGGCTGAAGCTGAGGTGAGGGGGCCTAGCCCCCCATGTCTGGGCCTTGGAGGGGGCTCCAGGCTGATGCTTGTCAGAAGCGCAGCTCCCTCCCTTATCCCTGGGGCTCTGGCCACACAGCGGGGGACTGAGATACGCCTAAGGTGGGGTGGCTCACGGGGTAGGGTCTCCGTACACCTTGAGCGGTTACATGACTTGTCTCTGCCCTGCCCCAGGCCACGGCAGCAGTCTGTCTTCATTCAGGGCGGTCTGGGCCCCCCTGGGGTGGTTGGCCCCCTTCAGTGACATCGGAGGGCCCCCTCCATTCATGGCTTTCCGCAGAGCCTCTGCAACGGGGTCTCCACTTGGAGCTCGTCCTCGCTGGGTCTTCTCAGTGGCCCTCAGTTCAGGTGTCTCTGCAGACAGGAAGGGCTCCCCTGTGGGTGTCCCATGATGGGTCCCCCCTGCAGTCTCTCTGTCCAGGTCCTCTTGGTGGAAATGTGGTCTTTTGGGTCCTAGTCCCCCCTCCCAGTCATTCAATATCCTGCTGACTTTTTATAAACAGCATGTTCCCCCTGAATCCCAAGTCCTGTGCCCTTGGGGACACCTCGGTTTATTCACTGGAACAGGCTGAGCAGTGGGGGGGAGGGAGAGGAGACAGGGTGCAGCGTGCGCCCCTCAGACACCCCGAGCACGGTGGCCCTCGAGTCAGCCCACCTCTTTGCTTTGATGAGCTGGGCGTGAGCCGTCATCGGGTCCTCCTGGGGCCTTGGCAGTCTGTACTCAGAGAGCATCCTACATGGGGGCAGGAGCCCCGAGCAGGCATAAGGTCCCCAGACAGGGGGCCCCCAGCCAGGGAGGTGCTCCCTGCTCCCAGGCCAAACACAGGCCGAGGGGTAGATAAGGGTCAGACAGGCGGACAGATGGGGAAGGAGAGAAGGGAGAGGACAACAGTGACCTGCCAGCCAGAGGGGGCACCTGGCCAGCCACGGGCATCTGGTCCTCCGCCCTCCTCCCACTGTGAGCAGTTCCCGCTGGGGCTGGGAAGGTGAAGGGGTCTCACAGGCGGACACAGTGACAGCTCATGAACGCCCTCTGGGCGGGAGGCCGGATTTCGGGCAGAAGAGAAGTCTCCTGCGGGGAAGAGGGGGTCCTGGGAGCAGGAAGGACGCCCGCTGGGCCTGGAGCTCCCCCGTGGCAGTGCCCCCATCAGCGGGTGTGTGAGACGTCAGGAGGGAGTTGGAACAACCTGCAGCCCGGGAGCTGCTGTCCCTGGTCTTGGCCCCCCCAGACCCCCACACACATCCTGGTCCGCAGACGTTAACCCCCCGGTCTGCACAGGGAGGGCGAGGCCAGCCGCCAGCTATCGCCCCAGCTCTAGTCTGGGGGTGCCAGGGAGGCAGCTGAGTGTCTGCCTCTGGGACCTCAGAGCAGCTGAGCCTCCCCGGGGAGGGAGAGATGGCAAGGAGCCTGCCCAGGTGGACTGACAGGGGAGCAGCCGCGAAACCCGGTCCCACCCTCCACGTCCCTCCCTCACCCCTGCACCTCCGACAGGAGGGTTCTGGCGTCCGGGGGAGTTTCGGTGTTGGCCCAGGTTCAGGCTGAGCTCCGGCAGCTCGTCCCACCCATGAGCCTCAGACTCCCGCCCAACAGGAACACCCGTGGGACTCAGGGAGCTTTCCAGGGCCTCGGGCCTCCACGCAGGCTCAAGCCTTGGCCAGCCCAGAGGGGCAGATGCCTGCAGAGTGTGGGCCCCCCGGGGCAGTTTCACAGGAGCTCAGGACTACCTTTAACAATATCACGGAGACTATCACAGGTGTCCCCCCTTCTGTCCCCCATGGACCCCTCCTCCCCACGCCCACCCCCTCCCGCCTTCCCTGAACCATTGTCTGTGTCCATTGGTTATGCCCAGGGCTACCCTCTAAACTCATTGAAAGGGTGAGTGGGGTGGTTGGGTCACCCTGAAAGGCAATGGGGGTGGGATTAGGAGAGTGTGGATTATAAGCATAAAAGTATGATTTAGATTAGAAAGTAAAAACCCCTCTTCGATGTGAGGAGTTTGAAATAAGCGATTCAGAGAACCTGGTCGTCATCCCAGGCTTACTGAACCCTGGACGCCCCGTGTTTCTGGAGAAGTTGGAGTTTGGGGAAGGCCAGTGGTCCCCGGGTGCAGGACACATCAGGACAGCCCTGAGGCAGAAGAACGTTCGTTGACGGAGAGAAGGGGCCAACATCCGAGCCTAAGTGTCTGTCCGGCTCATTGTTTGTCACATGTTTGCTGGGTGCAGTGTCCACTCACCTCTGTCTGGGAAGCGTCTGTGTCTCCATTTTCCAAGTAAACGGAGGTTCAGCTATGTGGCCAGGGTCCCCCAGCTGGTGGCAATGGCCCTGGATTCAACCCAGGTCTGCTACCAAGACCCGTGCTCTGAACTGCAGGGGGAAAATCACCAAGGGGAGAACCCCCCCCCAGTCTCCCCCCCCACATCTTCCCAGCAGCCTCTGGCTTCTCCTCAACACCGCCAGGGCCCCTGTGGGGACCTGAGAGCTGAGCAGGTCTGCGCTCGGCCCTGCCCGGCTCCGAGGCTGGTCCTGAGGGGTGAGAGGAAGCAAAGGCTGTTTTCCATCGGCATGAAGAGCGGAAGCCTGTGCAGATGCCTCCACCTGGCCCACACGCGTTGGCTGCATGTAGACGTGTGAGAGACGGTGCCGAATATTTCACTGCAGCAGAAAGGACTCGGGCTCAAGAAATGCTTTCCTGAATGGAGGGCCCGGGAGGGGCGGTGAGGCTGCAGGGTCTCCCCAGAGGGCACAGGAGGGGTAGTGAGGCTGCAGGGTCTCCCCAAGAGTGTGCAGGAGGGGCGGTGTGGCTGCAGGGTCTCCCCAAGAGTGTGCAGGAGGGGCGGTGTGGCTGCAGGGTCTCCCCGAGAATGTGCAGAGGGGCAGTGTGGCTGCAGGGTCTCCCCAAGAATGTGCAGGAGGGGCGGTGTGGCTGCAGGGTCTCCCCAAGAATGTGCAGGAGGGGCGGTGAGGCTGCAGGGTCTCCCCAGAGGGCACAGGAGGGGTAGTGAGGCTGCAGGGTCTCCCCAAGAGTGTGCAGGAGGAGCGGTGAGGCTGCAGGGTCTCCCCAGAGGTCTGCGATGTGTGGGGCCCATGGAGGTCCGAGGACGGCTGTTTGGAGTCCCAGGTAGTTGCCTGGGAGTGGTCACTCTGGCAGGTCTCAAAAACAGTGCTCAAACCACAGTAGCTCCCAAGGTCCCTGCTTCTGGGTGTTCTAGGGGCTGGAGAGCCTCTGAGCCCATGTCTGTCTTGTTGGCAAGGAAGTCATGCCCCCTACCCTGTAGTCACGACACCCCTAGGGACCACAATTCAAATCTCCGCCAAAGCCACACACATTATTGCCCTCAAAAAAATAAAACCAAAAAAGCCAGAAAGATTAGGTGTCTCCCTGCTGTCTCTCCCCTTTCCCTTCGTCCTGAGTCTCCAGACCTCTGGGTGGCCGGCCGGCCAACTGCCTGATTCCCGGATGCAAATGAACCCTGCCTGCTTACCTGGGATTGGCTGGCCGGCCAGGTATGCAAATTGGCCCCCCCAGACTTTATCTGGGTTGAAAGAGTTAAGCGCTGGCCCAGAGGAGAGGCTGGGGGTGGAGGTCAACATGATTTGTATAAAATATTCTCTGTCTTCGAGGCTTCAGTTTGGGGAGGTTGAATGAGGAGAGTAATTCAGAAAGGGTGTGAGTTCGAAGTGTCCTCGTTCCTTCTCTCTCCTGACTGGTGGAGACCTGGGGCTCTTAGGTGATGGTTGTGTGTTGTGGGCACATGTTTATGGAAATGGAGCAGGACAGAGAGGCCGAACCCACCGCCCGAGGGGACTGAGAAGGGCCCTGCCCAGTCTTCTCTGCGGGGCACAGACCACCGCCACCCCCTTTCTAACTGAGCCCGCTGGAAGTGTAGGAGAGGAGGTAAGCACCCCAAAGGCAGGCTCTCCAAGGAGAACAGAGTGGGCTTCTGCGTCTGAGGAGCCAGCAGGTGTGGGAGGCGCAGTCGTGACTCAAGGGTGCGTTCACCTTCCAGGGCAGGACTGCTACCTGGGGAGCAAGAAAGACAGAACCCCTTATGCTACTCTGAAAAGTAAAATGAATTCCCCACAGGGAGTGGGGATGGAGAGTGGGAGGCACTGTCTCCTCCCCTTGCTAAATGTTTGCCAGTGGACCTGGTGGAAAAGGAGATGGCCGTGAATCACTCCACAGGGGAGAGACCCCGGGTGCCACCCAGGGAGAGGAGGGGGCCTGGGAGGGGGCCCTAGTGCCTGGATCGCATCAATATTCCGATGGTTGTGTGTTCAGGAGCCAAAAATGTGAACGTCTGAGGTGTGTTATCGTTACACATCCATCTTTGCGGTTTCGTTAAAGCCGTAGCAAGAGAAAGTTGGACCTGTGATTAAAATCCGCTCTTATCCCTGCAGATATCAAGATGAGCGGGGATGTAGCCGACTCCACGGACGGCCACAACGCTCTCAGCCAGGTGGAGACAGGTACGGGGCTCTTCTTGGGGGGGGGGGGGGCTGGTGGGAGAACGTTGTCGGGAATCTCCCAGCGACTGGTGTCTGTTCTCAGGGGGTCTTTCAGCCAAAGAGCCCCGAAAACTGGGCCCTAGGGGACGGAGAAATTCCCTAGAGACATGGTGTGACCCTGAAGCCTTTGAACAGTGCGTGTTGATCTGCATATAACCAAACCGTTGGACCCCTGCTACAAAGGGCCAGATTCTCAAACACGAAACAGAAAAGTTAGGGAGGAGATTCCGCTCTTGACTGTCCCTTTAGCCCCTAAAAGGAGCAGGTTGCGTTCCCGCTGCTGTGGACGGACAGATGGGGACCAGAGCCTTGCGACCCCAGAGTTCTCCGCACCCCTGCTCAAGCACCCCCAAAGACCCCCGCGCGCAAATATTCCGAGTTCCGTGCCTGTGGGTGGTGGGCAGACTCAGAGCAAGGCCAGTGCCCCGAGGTGACTTTGCCACTTTGCCATGTGAAGAAGAAGAGGGTGGGAGGGTTGGGAAGAGAGCGTTGTACCGGCTTGATTTTCACTCTCTAGTTCTAGCCTTGCGTTGAAAGCGCCATATAATTAAAAATAACTTAAGGAAAGATGAGTATAAATTGTAACGCCACCAAGTAACTTTAATAGCATCCCAATAAGACCTCAAGCAGTCTTTCATCTGGATCATTGGACACGTAGAAAGGCGAAGAGGATCTTTCTCCAGGTCTTCCGGTAGAGGTCCGTTCCACTCTCGAAGCTAAAAGACTGGAGATGAGGGGCCCCATAACGGGGGTCTTGGGGTACGGCATCGGCAGAGCGCGTCCACTAAATGTTTCTGCCGCCAATTTAATATTGAAACAGTGTCTATTTGCACCGGGAGACCTGCAGGCTCCATGTTCAGTCTCATGCACAGGGCAGCTGGACTAATGGATTCATTGGCTGAGTATGTTTTCCGAAGATTCTGTGGTGTGGGGCACCTGTTACTCCCGGTTGAGGAGAACTTTCTCTCCAACCTCAAGAACGCCATCAAGGCTTTAAAATCAGTCCAGCTGGAGACCGATAGGCACCGTCTTGGCTCTGACACTCTGTCCTAGAGAAAAGTCAGTCGAGAAGCCAGGATTTCCTGGCTGGCTGGAGCCAACCCTGCTCACCTGGCCCAGGTGTATTGCCCCATGTACATGGGGACATGGCTGAGAGTACGCGTGTGGGAAGGAGACCACACTGAGCAGGTTGGCACGCATTCTGTTATTAGTTCCATGACCAAGTCAGGGTAACCATGTGCGGGGTGAGGCGGGGCTACGCTGAACCCGGAAAGATGTACCGGGAGAGGGAGGGACTGCAATCCTGGGTTGCGAGTAGGAAGGATAAGGTGTCATTGACAATCTGAGCCAGTCCTGGCCTCCTGTCTGGGACTGTGGCGCTACGGACAGCCTGGGTGGAAGGAGGGAGACCCAGATGTAAGTCTGGACTCTGACTGCCAACTTGGTGTGTGACCTGAGACCAGCCACTTCGCCTCCTTAGGAGGCAGGAAGAGATGACCTGTGAGGAGCAGGTTTGGAATCCAAGAGGTCTGGGCTCTAACTCACCGCACTGATGCTCACGGCTGTGTGATCTGATAAGGGAACTTGGCCTGTCTCTTCTGTGTAGGGCACAGTCCAGGGTGGGCTGAGAGTTCGTGACGTTACGTGCAAAGACCGTAGGACAGTAGGGTTCCGTGGTTCTGAAATATACAGAATGAGCATGGCTACAGCATGGCTTGGGCCGCAGCGAGCTGGGGTGCCCTTCTCCCCTTCATTCAGGCCCAGTGGGTAAGCCCCAGAGGTTGACTTTTCCCTTCACCATTCAGCGGAAGGGCTGTGTGGCTCCTCGCCCCCCAGGAGACCGTAGGTCCATGCCACCTGGAGTTCCTGGCCCTAGACTTTCACTCGAAGGGGCTGGCACCGTGGCTGGTAGTATCCATACTTCGGCGATCATCAAATTACTGCGTGTTTTTAAGGGCGAGAAAAAAGAGGTAGCTAATTAAAGTAACCAAACTTCCTGGAAAGTCATTCTGACTCATGTTTTTACAGAGGAGAGCTTATTATGAGTCACCATGGTTACCAACTGGGTTTAATGGCTTTCTTTGGGTTTTTAAAAGGCAGATCCCCCTTCCCAGCCGTGCATGAATTAAGAGGTGGTTTGTGTCTGGGTTTAAAGGAACTATAAACAAAGCTGACCTAGAAAGTCCCAGCTCCCTGAGAGCACCTTCTGCATTGTGTGAAATCCCCAAGAGACACAAGTTTGGGCGGGAGGGGGTGGGCTGGGAAAAGCAGACAGACAGACCTGGTTGCTGGAGACCTGGAGGGCAGGTCCTCTCCCCTCTCTTTCCGCCCTTCCGGAAGTGCAGGTCTGGACGTGGGGGCCCTGGGCTCCGCAGCCTTCAGGGGACACACCTGCTGCTTCTAGGTTTCTGCTCTCACCTTCTCCTTCACCTCTCCCACCCCTGCCTGTGCTGGCTCTGCCTTCATTTTGAGGGCTGACAGCATTGTTTTGTGCTCATTTGCGTGATTTTTGGAAGCCCCTAGGTATGTAGCTGGCAACCCCGAGCACCCAGGACACTGAACCTGCGACTTCTGACCACGCTGGTGGCAGCACCGCCTCGCACTCCGAGGGGACGGACTGCCCGTCCCCGGGCACATGTCCGCGCACCCAGAACTTTGCGTCCTTTCTCATTCTTCCATTCCCTTTCCCATTGTGAGGACACTGTGGCTGGGAACGAGAAACGGACCTGCCCAGGGTCACACAGCTTCTGACCGGGACCCAGACTCGGCCTGTCTAACTCCCTGCGGACTCCCTGGGGCGAGCGTCCCCCCCCCCCCGCCCCGCCGTGTTTCTGTGAAGAAGGTGTTTTCGATGGATAATCTCTAAGGGCTGAATTTTAATAAATGTTACATGGTGTCACTTTTCCGAACCTCTCCCGTGTTCCCACTCCCTGAGCTGTGTGAGGCCGTCTCAGAGCCGAACCCCTCCTCCCCCCTCCCTCGGCCCTCACAGTCCCTTCTCTCAGCTTCCTCCTGCTCACTCTTCTCTGACACCTCCAGCTGCCTCCCTGCTCTGTCCCTGTCCTCTTCTCCGGCCGGAGGTCCCCGAATCGACATCTGTGAGCACACTGGGCTCAGGCCTTGGGCTCTGAAAGATGAAGAAACAGCTCCATCCTTGAGGAGCCTTTCCCCCAGGGTGTGGATCCCAGGGGGCGAGGATTCCATGGGGGCGAGGATCCCGTGGGGGCGTGGATCCTGTGGTGGTGTGGATCCCGTGGGGGTGAGGATCCCGTGGGGGCGTGGATCCCATGGGGGTGTGGATCCTGTGGGGGTGTGGATCCCGTGGGGGTGTGGATCCTGTGGGGGTGTGGATTCCGTGGGGGTGGGGATCCCGTGCGAGTGTGGATTCCGTGGGGGCGTGGATCCCGTGGGGTATGGATAACGGCACAGACTCGTGTCTGCCACTCAAGCAGACTGTGTGGCCTTCACATCAGTTCTGTGAGGGTTGACGTCCGCTGTACCCACGCTGTAGACGAGGAAGGGGAGGACAGGGATGAGAAGTATGTTAGCTGACTTTCCCAAGATCCCGGACCTGACAAATGACAGAATGAAGCCTGGGCCCTTCCGGTGACTTTCACTCAAAGATGGTGGTGGGCTGGGAGCAACACGGAGCAGAGTCGGGGGCACAGGAGTGGGAGCAGCAGGGAGGGGACAGGCGGTGCAGGTGGCACCGGCCAGAGGAGGTAGAGGGGACTCAGGCCCCGGAAGCTGGTGGGTCTAGTTCAGGAGGAGGAGCCCTGTCGGGGGCCAGACATCCTTCTGGGGAAGAGAGAAAGGCCTGCGTCGCCTCCCGCCCTCTCTGTGGAGGGTGGAAATCCAGCCTCAGAGAGAACTCCCCTCTCTTATCCCCCACCAGCCTCCCCACGGTGCCAGCTCCTGCCCACCCTGCCACCCCTTCCACGGGGGAGGGGGCCGCAGACCCAGGGGACAGGGGAGCAAGTGCTGGGCACCTCTTCCTCAGAGACCTGGGAAGGAAGGACTGGGAGGAAAACCCAGAGGAAGAGAGGAGAGCGAGGTGAGGGTTCTGGGCTTTGCCAGTTGTCCCTTCCAGCCGCCTTCCTCTGGCTCCATTGTCCTGGCTGGGGGCGGAGGGGCTGACATCTGCCCCCTGAAGGACCCCCAGGGCAAGGTAAGGAGGGACCTGCGCAGAGTCTCCTCACTCTACCCTGGAGCGGTGGGCATGGTTCTGTGAGAGCCCAGAAGGTCCGGGATTCTCCTACGATCCCAGAGAAAGAATGAGCATCGGACCCAGGACTAGAAGGCCCTTATTCAGTGCATCGCCAGGTCTCCCTAGCTCCCCCTGTACCGACTCCCCCAGGAAAAAAGCTTGGAGTCAAAAAGGGTGTCTCATCACGGCCTGGAGGCGACTTGAGAGATGAGTGTGGTTTTCCCATCCAAATACTTACTCAGTAAACTATTCTTTCAAGGACAGAGAAGGCAGGAGAAATCTAGGACACACTTGGGTGACGGAGAGCTGGAGGGAGGTCAAAGGTACACACGTCACAGATACAATGTATCATTCAGTTGATAATTATTGGGAACGTCCAGGAGACAGGACGGAGCTCTGTCACTGAATGGGGAGGGACACCCCTGCCCGTGCCCTGGTCTTGCGCGTGGTGTGAGCAGGACCGGGGGGGGGGCATGCAGGGGCCGTCTCGGGGGTCCCTGGGGGTCACCCCTGGAGAGAGAGCTAGAGCCAGGATCCCTCCTGACATCCAGGGAACATGAATTTCTAAGGTGTGAGGATTCAGAGATGAATCCTGCTCACGCTTCCTTCTTCCTCTGGAGACGGTTCAAACCCTTTCCTGGAAAATTAGAAGGTTCCCGTTCGTAGGGGCTGTGTTTCCTGATCCCTCCCCCGCGCTCAAGAAACGCTGACGCCACAACTTCTCTTGACCGCCTATTCGTTTTCATTGCAATTC